TAAAATGTACCAATAAAAGAATTTAAGGAAAAAAATTTTTTATTTAATAAAGTTAGAGCAACTATATAAAAAAATTTTCCACTCTATTTTTAAATTAGGTTTTATTTCCATGATATCCAGTCTTGGAATCCAGCAAGTCACAATTTTCTCCACGTAACTTCTAAGGTTTTTGGAGGTACACTCTTAATTCAGAGGCCTCTCTTTCTGTACACCCCAGACTGTGGCAACTGTTCAAGGTGAGGCATATTCTTGTTCACATCTGTAGATGGGAAAATCAATCTGACCAGTGATCTGTTCTGGATGTAGGCAGTGGAGCAGGAATTCAAACAGACTGCCGGCCTTAGTCTGAGCACTTTCAGATCCAGCCGACTCTGGAAGCCACAACTGCCAAGCCTGACTTCTCAAGCCAGAGTACATGTCCTTCAGACTTTTCAGGAGTGTATGTCCAGCCAGCACCCTCTCTGTGTCTGTTTCTCACTCAGGCACTGTGGGGAGGGTAACACTGAAAAGCCTGAAGAGGACTTGTTCTATAATTGTTCTGTGGCCCAGTCTTAAACAGTTAATCCCTTCCCAAAAGAGGGTCTGATTAAACATTCTCTGGGAATATGGCAGGCACTGTTCTGGGCTTCCTTTCCAACCTTAGACTGCCATGAAGCAGTTAGTTACCTTTGAAGTAAAGCCCCAAACTGAATTTTTAGTTGACAGTGCATGTGGGCATTTCTTGGGGCTAGTGCTGCTGTGTGGATCCATAATTCTCCTTGATTCTCTCAACCCTCTAGGCTTACCCTTCTCTCCCCAGGTATTGGCATTGTCTACATTCAGGTCCATTAGTTGGTTGGCACCTCTGCTGCCCCCTGCCAAGGGGAAACAAAAATCAGAGCTAGCTTGGAGTTAGTAGGAGCCCTAAGCCAGGTCACAGAATCCATAGGCACTGAGCTGGTCAAGGACTAATGCATGGAGTCTCCCCTTCTTTAAACAATGTGATCAGTCTGCCTTTTGTAAGCTTTATATCTGTAATTTAGGAGAGATAATATACAATCTAAGTGAGAGAAAATAAACTATACCAGCTCAGGATTGAACTCTTACAATAACAATAAACTATACCAGCTCAGGATTGAACTCTTACAATAACGATTATTGATATTCCAAGGGGAACTGTGTTCTCTTGGTAACCTTTTATTTTATATTCGTACTCATTGAAGTCCTCCAAAATTCATTTCTTTTTAATCTTATTTTCTTTCCATTGCTGAATATTGAACCCATGGCCTCACACATGCTGGGCAAGGGCTTCACCACTGTGCTGCATCCCCAACCCTGAAAAATAAATTCTAACATACATAGAACCACATTCTGGGAGGCTTTTATTGCTTAACAATAATACTATAATTTTACTTCTTATCTCTTGTGCTGTCATCCTCTCTTTGCTCATTAACCCATTTTTTCATTTTTTACTTTACCATCCATCAACTCTTGTAGTTCTCCAAATAGACCTAAAATGTTTATCACTTTGTCCCTTTGCATGTGGAGTGGTGTAGCCATATTTCCTCCTTTGGAAAAGCTTGTATATCTAATGGAATAACCTTCAAATAAATTACCAGGCAAGAAGAGCTGTTTTTCTTTTTGTGCCTTAATCATCTTATAATTAAGTTTTATAAATCTTTAAACCACAATAAACTGTATTTGTAAATAGAAAACCAATAAAGATGCACTAGAATCTCTAACCATACTTAACCCTTTTATTCAAAATTTTACTGAAGGTTTGCCATTTTTGAAAAATGGTAGATTTACAATGGTAACAGATATTGAGCTCTTACTTTCTCTAAGGCATAGTACTTCAAACTTGACATGCATCATGTTTTCATTAATCCCTGAAAATTATTTAAAGTTGTCATTGTGTCCATTGACAAGATAAAGAAAATGAAGTATATAGAAACCTAAAAGTTTGCCAGTCCACCCAGCAAGGAATGGCAGGTAGCTAAACACAATGCACCCTAGCTTCTCTTGGATACCTCACTTCATAGTCATGAATGTGCAGTAGCAAGGGTATCTAAAACCACCTACAGGCACTGGGGGACTACAAAACTTGCCCAAGACTACTTGAGTATAAAGTTCAGCTGAAATCAGGCAACATTTTTGAGGCTGAACAGCTATAATCTTTTCACAAGCTCTCTCTGTCTCACAGTGATGTTGCTATAGTTTGGGTCTAGAATGCGCCCCCCCCCTCCCCAAAGCCCATGTGCTAAAGGTTTGATTCCAAGATGATGAGAGTTAGTGAGAGTTGCTATTAGGACCTTGGGTCTCTTGGTGTCTGGTAGGTTGTGGTAGGTTGGGACTTGAAAAGGAATTGTGGGACCCACATTGTTTCATTTTCTTCTTTCTGGTCATGTGAGAAGCAGTTTTCCATGATGTGTTCCCTTACCAAGGCCCCAAAGCAACTGGACCAGTTGATCACGTACTGAAACCTCCAAAACTGTGGTCCAAACATAAACCTGTTTTTCTTACAAACTGCTTTATCATAGGTATCTTTTATACTAGTGGAAAGCTGACTAACAGAGATGTCCTCCTTTATTTAGTGATTTTTAGTTTCTTGTGATAAATTTCAATAAAAACATACTGTGTGATTTTGCATGTTCTGAAAAACAATTGAGTTTTGATTTCATAACTTTACCCAATATTCTGTGTGCTTAAAATTTCCCTTTGTAAGTCAAGAAAAACTGTAAATTTATAAACCCTCTGATAACTTTATCTCACCTTAGAAAAATCTGGGTCCATAACTCCATTTGTCCAAAGGAAGTTCCTTTGTTTGAGTTTTATTATATCTTTCCAAGCTAAATGAAATGCAGGGAGCAATGATTTAGTATGCAGCGTGGATTTGCCAACACTAGTTCAAATTAGTATCGCCAGCTAACCCCTATTTCTCACTTCTGCATCCAACAAATAAATTATAAATGTTGGCACAATATTTTTATTATTATTTTTATAGCCTACAATTTACAACCCTGGCTGTCCTTGAGAGGTTCCATGTATTTGTTACATTCCCCTCCAGGGAGGATTCATCGAATGACGACTCAACATCTGTGCTCAGGGAAATTCAGGCTCATTCAACTCTATTCCATTTCCCAAGAAACATCACTGTTCCTTATTGATTGTGTAATGGAGGATTAATTATGCTGTCACATAGTGTATTTATGTCCTTGCTGGTGGTATTGGCTTGCTCACTTTAAAATGGCCAATATACATCCTGCAGTGGGACATACTTGTTTTATGAGATTTCTTATTTCTGCATATTGCAACCAAACAGGTTCTGCATATGTATTTCAAGACAATCAGTGGAATAGGAAAAGTCTTTATCAGCTGGAATGTTTTAACTCTACAAAGAAAACTAATTCAGTGTGTGTGTGTCACTAAAATTAACCACTAATGCAAAGGGATTAGGAGTAAAATTATCTAGGCTTGAGTTCCAACTTTAACAATTGTTGTGACTCCATGACTTAGGGCAGGCACTTAGTGCTAGGTAACTGACATGCAACTCTGCAGCCATCACTTTTTGTGTTTTTGTTATTGTACCATACAGATTTTTAGTGAAACCATAAATATATAGTCACTCCAGGGGTAAATGCAAGCATTTTTTGTCTTTTGTCTTTCTAAATGATATATTTGAGAATGTCACCTCTGTCTGTGTATTTATGCAATATATGTATTTTTCCTCAGAACTCAGAAATGACCACGAACCACAATACTCTTTGAATATTTTTTTCTTTCTAGCACCAGCTGGAAAAGCTATTTAAATAGTTGTGGATTTTATATCTGCTTAAATGAGACCAGTGATTGATCCAGAAATATTATTGTTTCTTTTTTCATAGCATTTCATTAGTTATTTAAAATAACCAACATCACCAAAGAAATGTATCTCTCTCCTGCTCATACTGAAACACTAGGATCATAAGTAACACAATAACGTGGTACATCTTACCAGCTGTTCCATTGACATCATAAGTACCATAATGCATACTATTTAATCACTTTCTTATAGACTTTCAGGGGTCTTATTTCTCTTTTTCCATCTTTGCCCTGAAGAAACAAGGGTAAGTGTGTTCTTTCTTAAAACTATAAATAAAACAAGATCATTGTTTTACTCAACAAATATCAGTAGTTTTCTCTAACAGTTGAAATAAAACCCAGATTCCTCTCCACAGCTTCCATGACTTTAAGTCAATCCCTGACTTTCCCTCTAATATTTCTTATTCTGTCTTCTTGGAACCCTTGGTTCTAATCACCCTGATCTTTTCAGCAAGTTCTTTCCTAACCTATGATTTTGGTGTTTGCTCCTTCTCCTAGGAAGCTTTCTTCAGATCTCCAAATACCTTCCAAAGTCATATCTTCTAAGTCATACCCAAAATGTCATTGTTATTAAATTGCCTTTCTTGAGCAGCACTGTAGGGTAACTATACTTTTCAATTTCTTCCTCCTTACCCTATTCTTCTCATGGCATCATTGCAATTTTCAATTTTATTAATTTGTATTTTTATTCACCTGTTACAAGTCTCTGCCCCTAATACATAGGCTAGGACTTTAAGCATGTTGTTAATAGCTTTATTTCATACCCCAGAGCCTAAAACAGTGTGTTAGTTAGCATTCTGTTAATGTAACTACTCATATAATCAACTTACCAAGAGAAAAGTTTTACTTTGCGTCATAGTTTTGAAGTTTTGGGTCCTTGATTGGTTGGCCCCAGGGATTTTTGGCTTTACATAGGGAGCATGTCATTCTGGGAGTTTGTGACATCACAAAAACACACAATTCATGGCCAGAAAGCAAAAGACAGGAAAAGAAGAGACCAAGTTATCATAGTCTCCTCCAAGGGTAAATTTCCAAAGACCTGATGACAGCTCACTAGGCCTCACCTCTCAAAGATTCCACCACCTTCCATTAGCACCATGCTGCAGAGCAAGGCTTTACCAGTAGGCTTTGGGAGACAACCCAGACTGAACAATAGCAAACAATGAGTAGAGACATCTTCCAGAAAGTAGATAATCAAGACTATTAATACATTAAAAAAGAGTCTATCATGTATTAGTGAGTCACGCATCATTTAAATTTAGAGAAAATTAAACAATATTTATTTCAAATATAGAAAACAATTTTTGCCCTAGTCACTTTGCTTTCATTTTTAGAAAATGCCATCTATATAATTTACCCTAATTTAGTCCTTGATTATGCAAATATTATTTAACAAATAAGCATATTATCATAAAACATGTATTTTATCATGTAATTCTTATAAAACTGGTAGACAAAAATGAAGAGCCATGATATATCGACATATTTCCAAGGTTGTGTTAGTTATCTACATAGATAACAACAAAAGTCTGACCTGTTATTTTAGTAAAAATCAATGACATTCATCTTACCGAAATAGTGTTTTTACTATATTTGAATTTGTTTTTATTTCTTGTTTTCTGATGTTTTTATTTTGTTACTTTTGTGAGAACGTGAACTATATTGACTCTATTATTACTTTGTCTAAATTTTAGTCAGAATTTGGAGTTGTGTGGAGTGAAAATAATTTGTATCTGGTGCAACACCATCAGCTATGGTACACAAAATTAGATCATAGTACAAACATGTGGAGATTCAGTGTAAGTGAATATAAAACAGTTTTTGATTACACACCAGTAGCACAAAATGAAATTTGTGCTAAACTTGCAACCTTAAACCATGAACATTAGAGCAATTGCTCTCTACTGTCCCACTTATGAAATCAGCCCTAAATGTAGAACAACTTAATATTCTTCTAGAAGTTATTTTCCTTTGATGTGAAATTGTAAGTCTGGCCTTTATAACATATTTATTGTAAAACATTCTGACAAGAAACAATAGAGATTCTAACAAAAATCTTGAAGAAACTTCTTTTATTAAAGGAGAATTCAAATATCTCCAGTAATCTGGGAGAACATAGGTACAGATTTGTCATTATATGAAGAGTCTTATAGAAATAACAAAATTTTCAGAAATAATTATAATCTGCTTAGAAATAAGAACCACTTCCCTCTCAAAGCTCTCTCTGCCCCATGAGAAATGAATTGAAAGAATGAAAGAGTCACTTCTTCATCCTATAATTCTTTATTGATTATTTTATATGTCCTCATGTCCCAGACAAGCAGGGGGAATCAAATATAAGCAATCCCTGGAGGTGCTCAGTGTTTATCAGGCGAGCCAGACACACACACCTAAATAGAGCCTGCTTCTCTCCTTCACTTTTAGGGGACAAGAGGCTTCCAGGACTCTCTGTGAAATGTCCTTGTTCATCTGGTATGGGCTAAACACTTGGGTCGGTACTTTGCAATGTAACCCATAATGGACTTCTTTGTCCACTGTCTTCATGTTTTTCTATTTATAAAACAGTTTTGATTTTTTTATTATCAAACAGTCCATATTGTGCAGTGTGAAACCCTGTTCAATTAGTATTTTCACTCATTCAAAATACTACTTTGCACAATAAAATCTCATAGTAAAACCTAATCAAATGATGATTGTGTTCAATCTAGGTTATAGTACAATTGAGTCACCACTGATATCACAATATGCAAGGGAGCAACTTAACTCATATAATATTTGGGTTCTATTTAAAATCACAGATTTCTGAATTTCAAGTCTTTCTTCTTTAAAGAAACACATCCTTCCATGTTGCTTATCATTAATAAGTTTATACTTCACTTCACTTCAGTTTTGGAAAATCTTCCCAGTAGAATGGAGTCACCATGGGACAAGGAATTTTTATTTGCTCATTTTTTCTATCCCAAATGACTAAAATAGTGTCTGACAGTTAACAATTGCTCCATCAATATTTGAGGATAAAAGAAAGAGGGACAGAATAATTCTCATCTTGAAAAAAGTTAGAAGAATTTTATCAGTACATTCTACATCACAGAAAAACAAACTTAAGTGAACAAACAAATGAACAAACTTTGTGAAAAGATCAGAGGGTCAATAAAATGTTATAACATATAAATACATATATGGTATTTTAATTCTTTTTTCTCTCTGTCAAAAGCCTGTCATCCATTTATGGCCTATATGTTACAACTGATGTTTTACTAGATCTGAAGAAATGTGGTCATTGCGATGGATTGGTAGTCAGCGTCAGATCATTCTAGCTGTAACAGTGGTTATTGCTAATTTAATGTTCAGCATCACTAACACAGGTAATGTGAAATAGGTACAGAACCCAAGGGAAGTGAATTCCCTTTTGAAATTTTTCTCAACTGTTCAGCTAGCTGCCCCACATTTTCCCCATATATTGTTGTACAACACAGATGATATTAAATTGGAAAAAATGAACTTGGTGTTAACTTTATTTCAATTTTTCTTTAAAAAATACAAATGCTAACTAAACAACAGTAATTCTTTCTTACATTACCGTATTAGTTGTAAGTATGACATTAGTGGAGATAACAAAAGAAACAGAAATATCAACTTACAAACTACTTCCTGGCTTGGCTCCTAAGCACAGTTGTGATGCTAAGTAGCAAATGTACTGTTTGCTGATTCCATACTGTGTGGTGGTATTATGACAAGTGCTGTTCATGCATCGTAATCTCTTCTCTATGGATGAAGACACTGCGAATTAGAATGGTGGATAATTTGTTCAAGGTCACATTTAGAGTCAGTGGAGGCAGGATTGGAATCAGACTGCTATTAGAGTCCTTGCTATCTTGTTTACAAGGCCAGTCCAGGGCTCCCTTTAGGAACAAAGTGTATTGTATACACAGGTTCCCAAACTTAGAAGGACCTCCTCCTTCTGCAGAGTCTCATCTCCCACCTAGGTTAAATCTCTGCTATTGTCATTTTGAAGTTCTTAATATTTTGAACAAGTAGTCCTACATTTTCTTCTTGTACTGGCCTCTACAAATTAAAACAAAAATTTAAAAGTCCTATTCAGGAGATTTGGTATAGGAATTTCACAGAATAATTTCATGTTTGTTATTGTTTATTGATTTTTCCTTTAGAAAAAAAATCCACTGCACTTAATTTTCTCCAGGATATGGATATGTTAGTCATCCCTTCCTGTAATCCAATTTACAATGAACATAAGCTCAATATGAATATTAGGCAAAGGATCCTCATACTTTCTCTTCTAGGCTTGTCATATCTTTAAGGTCTTTGGTCCCACTTAAGGTCAATTTGTGGATTAAGCCTTTATTATTTTGTTCTTTTTTTAAGAAGGAAGAGATTCTCCCTCCTCAGCCAATTTCCATCCTCAGATTAGGACTAAAGCTGTTAATTCAATTGTTTATTCAAATAGAAATGAAAAAATTATTGCAAATATCGTCTACAGTCACCTGTTCTGAATTGCAAAATACTTAGACAGGGACCATTCACCAGATGTAATTCGGTTCCTTGAACAAAAGAAATGCAACAACTAGGTGCTTCACTTGCTCTTGCAGTTACTTCTGTTACACTGTTTATTTTCTCTTTTTTACTAGTCAGAGTTATTATATGTTTTGAGGTGTTAAAGGGGCTTTTACAAAATCGGGAGAAATGCTTTTGTGTTGTTTGAAGGCATATGCTAATAACTAATCTGACAGGGTGCAATAATAATACAAATGTATTAGTAAAGAAAAAACTGAACAGTATATATAATTATTTTATGAAAGAAATTTCTTTCCTTGAGGGAGAAATCTGCATGTTTACTATCTGTAACAAAGGAGATGTTGAACTACGTAAGTGAATTATTCCAGCTCTGTGTACATGTGTACAAGGAAAGGGTTGAATCTGAAATGATATTAAGCGGTTTTGTTATTGTCAAAAAATAAAAACAATAAAAGGCATGACAAATATAGTGAACTCCAAAAATACACTTTCCAAGATTTTTGAAACAAATGCAGTAATTTGTATAGAAAATTATATAGTAATATAAAGTATGTATATATAGTATATATAAAGTAATAGAAATTTTTCTGAGATTAAAAAAATTTAATGAGGCTTTCATTATTCCTCATAGTCCATATGAACTGAATATTCACAATGTGCTGTTAAGGAAAATGAATCAGGACATTAAAAATCCAGCCAAAAAGTTAGGAGTTTTGTTGCTAACAGTATATGCACCTAACAAGACAATGTGGAAATGACTCTCATTAACATTTAGAGTCAGTTTTACTTTGGATGACCATAGAATACAAGGTTCAGCTTTATATATGACACTGAGCCTTTATCTCGAGTTTCTCTGAGTTCCTTTCAAGACTGCAAAAGACAAAGAACAATGTTTATTTTCCTTTCCCCGGTAAAGTTGCTGCCTCAGTCAGCTCTCTCCGGGCCTAGATACTATACCTGTCACTCACAATTTAAAGGAGGAGAGATTTAATTTTGTATAATCAGCCCATGACCAGGTGGCTCCAAGCCAGAAGCATCATGACAAAAAATATAAGCAAAATAAAGATGCTAATCGGGATTTAGCTCAGTGGTTCCACCCCCTTCCTCACAAGTGCAAGGTCCAGAGTTCAATCCCAGGTACCAAAAAAAAAAGATGTTTAATCCATGGCAGCCGTGAAGCAGAGCAGGGCAAGATTGCCAGAAAGAAATATGTTCGGGACCATATGCAATGGCTAAATGCCATGCTTCCATGACTCACAGAGACACATTCAGGAGCTTGGTTTACTAATCTGGGAGGTGTTTGTTAATCCAATGAAGTTGACATGTCAGAATTAACACA